TCCTCGGAAGGAAGGTTGGGAAATCTACTTCCATAGAGATACCACCTCAGAAACCCAAGGAGGGGTCGCTATGAGTCGGATCCGATTCGACAGCAGTTTGTTTTTTGGTTTGGAAGAACAAAGGGAGCCCTGGTGGCACAGTGGCTAAAGCACTTGATTGCTAACTGAAATGTCGATAGTTCAAAACTACCAGCCATGGGATACTGATGTGGCATTCCACTTCCGTAAAAATTAGAACTCTGGAAACCAGTTCTCCTCTGTCCTACAGGATTGCTGTGTGTTGGAATCAACCCAAAGGCAGTGTTTTGTTGTTGTTGTTGTTGTTTGTTTGCTTGCTTTGCTTTGTTAACTATAAAGGAGCCCTGGTGGCACAATGGTTAAGCACCCAGCTACTTACCGAAAGGGTCCATGGTTTGAACCCACTAGCTCTACAGGAGCAAGGCCCCAGTGATGTGCTCCTATAAATTTACAGCCTAGGAAACCAGCTCCTATGGGGCATTCTACTTTCTCAGCTAGAGTCGCTATGACTTGAAATCTACTCTATGGCACAAGGGTGGCATGCAAACAGTTAAGTGCTCAACTACTAACCTAAAGGTTGGTGGTTTGAATCCACCCAGAGGTACCTTGTAAGAAAGGCCTGGAAACCTACTTCTGAAAGGTCACAGCCTTGAAAACCCCATGGAATGCAGTTCTACTCTGACACAGATCGGGTCACCGAGACAGAATCTACCTGAGAGCAACCGCTTTGGTTTGGGGAGAAATGAACTCATAAACCTACAAGAGCTGGTGGATGTTGGGGATCCCTTGTGGATTTGGGGCCCTGAGTGGAGCTCCCTCCTGCCTAGGGATGGGGAAGGGTCCTCTGTGGCTCTGGAGAGATGGAGGTTGCCGTCAGGGTCCACAGATGTCCCAGAGGGATGCACGCAGTACACCTCCTAAGCTTTGCTCCTGGCCCAGTTCTTAGCTAAAGGGACAGAAGCAGAGGGGCCAGCCCTTCCAGTCTCCTGCTGGCCATGAGGGTTAATGAGCCTGAGACTTAAGGCAAATACAGGTGCCATAGTTTAGCTCTAAGAGCTCTGGCGGCATAGTGCCTAAGGCATTTGACTGCTAACCAGAAGGCTGGCAGTTCAAACCCACCAGCCACTCCTTGAAAGGAAGGGTGGGCAATCTACTTCCGTACTGAGTTTGGTTTAGTTATTTGGGGTTTAGCTGTGACGTAGGGTCAGGTCAGTCATGGTAGCTGACTCTTTCCCTTTTACCTCTGGAGGCTATTACAGGCTGTTCCATCTTCCCGTTTCCTTGTCTGGAAAACGAGGTTGATTAAAAAACCTCACGTCAGGGTATGACCTTTTTATTATATTTTAATAATATATTTTATTATCATCAATAATGTGTAACAGCTTTTTATTATATTTTCTTTATTTCTTCCTAGAGTAATACCACAGAGACATAAAAATAGATGCTGATATATATTTATTGATAAAGCCCACAACATATATTGTTTAGTGAAAAAATACACAGTATAGAACAGCACTTATATATGATCACTTTTTTTCTATACATAAATCTATCTGGGTACAAAGGTATAGGGAGGTATCTAAAAGGACGTCATCAAAAGGTTCAGACAGTTATGTAAGGGTGGAGGTTTCAGGTATTTGTACTTTGAGATTTTGTATTTGAACTTGTACCACTTTCACAAAAAGAGTAACGCTATCAAGGAAACAAACATACACAGAAAAATAGGCCCTTAGACAGGTGGGGAGGGAACAGGGACAGAGGTCAGGCTATCCTCCCCTGCGCTGGTAACCAAGACTTTTTCTGCTCCACCCCCAAAAAAAGTTGCCCCCCCAAAGAAAGTTGCAGTGTGGACTGATGCATGCAGTAAAAACCCCTCCCCCAGTTTCACTACCACTAGACTATGAATATAGGTTAAGGATTCACTAAGGGCTGGAGGCCAGCACCTCACTGTTGTTCACTGGGGTCATTGGGTTGCCCAGGGACCCCTTTTGGCTCCTCCTCGGTATGTGTCAGCTCCTGCAGGGTGATAATCAGATTCTCAAAAACCTGGGCCTTATTGCTCTCCTCACAGGTTTCTTTCGTGTGCCCCGCTTCGTGACAATAAGAACAGGGGATGGGGTATTTTCGCTTCCTGCCCTTACGCTTCTCCTCGGTACCATCATTCTTACACACCGAACCATCACTAGTGGAAGGAGATTGGGCCCAGGAATTGCTGGTGGAGTCATTGACCAGGAGTACCTGATCCTGAGGTCTAGCCCTGCGTCTGAGGGGAGGAGAAGCCATGGATGAAAGTGGAGGGTCCTGAGGCTCCACCAGGATCACGTCCTCATCTGAGTCATCAAGGGTATCATCTATCTCTATCACACCGCCCGTCACTACCGGCTGGGGGCCCTGTAAGGCCAGATGGTTAGCTGCCCTCTCCAGAACTGGCTCAGACCTTCTGGGCCGCTTGCGTTTGAGAAAAGCGCCATCCCTATCCTCTTCTACCCTTATCATCCTGATTAGCTCCAGGAAACCAGGAAGATGCCCCTGCTCATTTGCATACAACCTGAGAAGCTCCTTAAACCTGAAGCGAAGGTCCCTGTTCAGCTCAGCCCCTCGAAGGAGCTGGTGCAGGCGAGTCTGGTTAGCGTCTCTCTCAGCTATGGCCCCTGCCTGAATAGCATTCTGGAGGTGCACCTCTAAACGGATCACATACAGAGACGTTTTCTCCCCTTGTGCCTGCAGGGTGTTAACAAATTTACCATGGGCAGTCACACTGCTATCAGACTCCCCAAACACCAATTTCATGGCCCGTATGAAATCTGCCACACTTATGTTGGGGTTGGTTGCCTGGAACACGCGCATGACCTCCCGGGCAGGGCCCCGGAGAGTTTTCATCAAGCGCTTGAGCTTCTCCTCCTCAGGCATATTCCCATCGGGCAAGATCCCATTAACTTGGGCCAGCCAGTTTTCAAAGGTTTCCTCCCCCTGGGCTGGCACCACCCTCCCCGAGAAAAACTTTGGGCTTCTCTCTGCCAAATTGGCCATTAAAGGACCAATGCTCCTCCCCAGGGACCTCAGTATGGAGTGGGCCCAAGGTGGCAAGGATCCATTCAGCCCCCGGCTGTTAATCACACGTGCAATGTTAGCCATGACTGAGTGACCAGCTATCTGAATAGAAAAAGATGCCCAGGCTTCTCGGAAAAGCCTAATCTGCAGGAGGAATCCCCAGAGCAATGTTCCCGAGCTCTGCCTTCCTTGTATCTCAGTAGGGGCTGCAGAGAAATTTAAAAAAAAAATAAAATAAAACGGGAGGTCAATAAAGTAGCAAGTTAGGGAGGGAGGGACTTGCAGCACAATTCTCTCTCCTCCTGAATACCCTGAAGCACATTTTGTATCTGCCACTGCCCTAAGACTGCCCTGTAGGACAATGGCTATTACAACGTCATAGTGCTAGCCAATGTTCCTTTGCCAGCAAGCTGCTCTTTCGGCCACATTTCATGTCCTCCCTCCAGTTCTCCAAGAGAGGGCAACTGTTGCTTCGAATTCTACGTGTAATAATGGTGTGTGAGGCCAAAACTGGGATCTCCTTGAATGCCGTCGTTTAAATCTGATATAAAATCTCATTGATCTCCCCCGTCTCACGTCTCCACCACACCCCTTTCTCAAAAGTTTTCGTGGTTATTTCTGATTCTTACATGATCTCAGGAACAAGTGTGCGCCTTTGTTTCAGTTCCAGCCTCTGCAGTCCGTGCTGAGAAATCTCGCCTCCAGGGTCCGGTCGGCCTCTGTCTATCGAGGGTCGCCGTTCGGGGTCCTCAGGGCGTCAAGACTGCATCTCAGCAAAGGGCAGAGTGGGGAAGGGACACAAGTCAGAAACAGCTTCACCCCTCATTCCCAACCCCCACCCCCATACACCCCCATCGCCTCTTTTAGCTGCCTAGTGCAAAATTTCCTCTCCAATCTGCTGAATCCCAGCCAACGCGACCCCCCTCCCATTACCTTCCCCTCGGGAAACCATGGGCCTACCAGCTTTGCAATAAGCCACACAATTCAAGTTCAGATGCAGCTTCGAAGGCCTGCCACGGAGAAAGGGAAAAGCAATTGGACGCTTCCCTCCAGGAAGAGACGAGAAGAGCTAAAGGGGGCTCAAAGCAGCGGCTTGCGATTTCAACCCCCCCCCAACCCTTTCAACTCCCCCCACTCTCAATCCTGGCAAATCCTACCTATTTGGCAGCGTCTAGTTGACACCCACCTCCTCCCTCAGTGCAGCTGGGCCACGGGGGTACGCCTTCCACAAACGGGGAGGCGCCCTGTACTCTCTGCGCTGGGCACTCGCACCCCTTTCTCTACCTGTACCTGGTGATGGTCAGCGGATGCCCAGTAGTCGTTAGCTGTGGAATCTGCGTCCTGGCCTCCGCCGCCCTGCAAAGGGAAAAAAGCGGGCGCCCCCTCGGCCGCTCGGAGCAACCCGAGGCTGCCCGCCCCAGCTGCTTCGCACGGCCGCCTGGCGAGGGTAGCCGAGTGGAAGCAGCGCGGTTCCCACGGCTGCCGCGGCAGCTTTTAGCCTCTGCCCACTGAGACAAAAGAGCGTGACGAGCGGGGCGGGGCAGCCAATCAGCGGGGCGCGGGGGCGGGCTCCCCGCGTAGCCACGGGGGCGGGGCGGAGAACAGGCTGGTGCGGCGTCCAGTGCGGCTCTGACGCTTCCATTGGGCCGATTTACATCTTATTTGGGGGTTGGAGACTTTCCCCGCTCTCCAACCCTTGCTTTCCTTCCTGTCTCTTGCCTTAAATCTGCGCTTTGATTTTGAGTGCCTTAAGCAAGAGGTGGGACCTTAATCAAGTGCACAATTAAAAGTTCCTCATCTTTGTGTGGGGAGGGGATGAGGGGAGAGGAGCATAAGCGCTTTCTGGGTACAAATGCGCTTGCATGGACCTCTCCTCTTTCATTCTCAGCAGCCATGTGAAGGAAGTGGAAGTTTGTTAATTTAACAGGGGAGATTTAAGCACCGAGGATCTTAATTGGTATTCACTAAAGAATGGGTGTTCACTAAATACCTGGGTCCACCTCTGGGGGATTTAGATTTACTAGGACTAGGATTAAAGGCGTGGTTTTGTATTTTTAACTACCATTGTACTGTAAAATCTGCCAAAACTAGACCTTGGGTAAGGCGGAAACCTGTCGGAGAAGGAAAACAAAAATATTTTCCACTAACAGCGATAGAAAAGTGGTAAGACTTTCACAGGAAACGTGCAAGACCTGGAAAAAAAACAAGACAGTGCCATCAAGTTCTGGCTTTCACAGGTAGTTGATTCTGAGGTCCCTGGATAACTTCTAACCTAAGGGTTGGTGGTTGGCACCCACCCAGTGGGCACCGTGGAAGCCCTAGCAATGTGCTTCTGTAAAGATTACAGCCAAGAAAACCCTATGGAGCATTTCTACTCTGTAACTGTCAGAATCTACTCCATGGCTATGGGTTTGGTTTTAATTTTGTAGTTGATTCTGAGGTATAGAGAGGTTTGTGAACCACTGGTTAAAACACACCATGACTCTAAGGGTAATAAGTAAATGGAGCTGCCACCAATACAACTGTCTACAGAGACCTGTCTGTCTACAGCCTATCTGTGATGATATACAATTCCACATTAGCAGATCCCATCTGGAGCCCATGATCTTCCTGAAATTGTATGCTAGGATTTTGGACTCTGTGGTAGGCTGGATAATGGCCAGGTGTTAATTTCTGGAACCTGTAAATACCACGTACTAAAGAAAAAGGGTCTGTGCAGATATGATTAAGAATCTTGACACAAAAAATCATCCTAGATCATCTGGACACACCCTAAATCCAATCACAAGTGTCTTTATAAGAGAGAGGCCGAGGACGATTTGATACACATAGAACAGGAGAAAGTGACATGAAGATGGAGGCAGAGGTTGGAGTGATGCAATCACAACCAAAGGAATGCTGACAGCCACCAGAAACCGGAAGAGACAAGGATCAAATTCTCCTGTAGAACCTCCAAAGGGAGCACAGCCCTGATGACACCTTGATTTTGGCCGTCTGAAATTGATATTGAACTTCTGGCCTCTAAAACTGAGAAAATACATTTCTGCTGTTTTTCGCCCCCAAGCTGTGGTTAATTTTGTTTTATAGCAGCCACAGGAAACTAATAGACTCTAAGTTTTTTTGCGTCCATAGCTTTATAGATTTTTTTTTAAATGCATTTTATTGAAATATAATTTATGTACAGTGAAATACACAAAACTAAAAGTGACATGGGTC